CTCCCCGCCGCTTCCCGCCCTCCCCACCCCCCAAGCTCCAACTCCCCAGCTTCGCGGCGCCTCCGGGATGCAACTCCCGTTTTCCGCGCACTCCGGCGGCGGTCCCCGCACACAAAAACAGCCCTCTCGGAGGCGCACGGCTCAGCCCGGCTGCGCGCAGGAAGGACAGTCGCGGCCGGGGGTGGGGACGCGGCGCCCCCCGCCTCCCGCCCGCCCTCGCGGCCCCGGGGGAAGGCGCGGTTACCGGCTCGGGTCGGTCACGCCGTCAGGTGCCGGCTGCCGTCGGCGCTGACCTTCGCCGCCAAAGCTGTAGCTGAGGCTGCGGCCGCCATGTTCCCGTGTTAATAACTGCTGCCTGGTTGTTTATTTCAATGGAGATCCTCCCCCAGCTCCCTCCTCCTCCTCCTCCTCCTCCTCCTCCTCCTCCGCGTCTCCGCACTTGCGGAGAGAGAGACAGACCAGGCGAGCTCGCTCTAGCAGGGGAGGGGGCTCGGGAGGCAGGCGGTCCCTCCTTCCGTCTCCCCGGCAGTGGCCGCCACCAAGTCCTGTCACTGGGGAAAGGACGGAGCGGAAACTTGCCTTCCGTGCCCCTGAGGAAGGAGCAAAGGTGGACTGAGGGTTGTGTGGGGAGAATACCCCGGCTGCGGGGTCCGCAGCATCTCTGAGAAGGCGGCCTGGGAAGAGGTGAAGAGTAAGGGGACAGGGGACAAGATGGGTGACAGTGGTAGAGGAAGGGTGACCTATGGGTGACTGGAAGGGAAGGGAGAATAAACAGAGGACTCCATGGGAGGGCAAAGGGCAGTGCCAAAAAGGAAAGCTAGCGAGTGGGACAGGCCGGAGCCGCAGAGTGGAGGCGGTGGAACCTTGGGGTTGTAGACGGCAGGAACCATGCCCCAAGACGGAGATCGGAGATAGCCAAGTGCCAGGGTCGCCCCAGAGGAGCCTCCCACCCGCGCTCCGGCCGGGCCCGTCTGCCAGCAGCCTGCGTCCCTCGGGCGCACTGTGCCCCACTTCACCCCATTCACGGTCCTGCGGCTGTCCCAGGAGGTGCCCCCTCGTCCGTCTAGTCCCCCTGGTTGACAACGAGGATTGGCTTCTCGTGTTGCAGTTACATCTCAAGAAGGGATACTTGGAGTGAGGGGGAGCTTAAAGGGGTGTCACGCAGCACTCGCATAATAAAGCAAAAGCTGCCCACACCGTGTAAAACCTAACCTGGTTGAAAACCTTTCCTGGCACGCCATGAAATCGCAAAAGTTTTAATTACAAAGTCCACTCTCTAGACATAGAGAAGTAAAGAATTAAGGGGACGAAAGAGATTGACACCAAAATTTGAGAACCCCCATTTAAGTGTTACTTGGATTGGTTTTAAACTTTGGGAAAAAGCAAGTTTTTTCCAGCTTACCCAGTAATTAGTTGAAAAATCAGCAATGAGTATTGAACAGCAATTATCAAATATGAGAGAACACATTTCCTTTTTTTAAGTTTTATAATAAAAAGGGTCTCTTGCCATATACAAAATAGTGTTTATTGAACAGTTACTATGTATCTAGCTATGTGCTAAGTGATTCATATTGATTAATTGATTTTAATCTTCAAGTTTACAAAGTAATTACCACTTTACACCTCCCACAAAAAATTGAAGCTTACAGAAATAATTCGTGTAGGGTCACATAGCCAGACAGCTAGAGAGGATTTGGGTATAGTCCTGGTGAGCTCCAAAGCCCATGCTTTTATCGTGTCTCTAACCTCAAATTTGTGGAAATACCACCAATTTTATTAGGGGAAAGAAAAAGTATATGTATGGTGGGTGTGTGCGTGTGTGTTTGGAAGGCTGTAACAACAAACGCTAGCACAGAGGAGTATCAGACAAAATGGGTGTGTAAGGAGGTACTTCCACTTTTTATTTTGGACACCTATCTAGTGTTTGAAATGTTTGCACTGACCGTGTATTAAAGTAGAAAAATTTTTAAGATTTTTTAAATTATCTGGAATTACGGAATTATGCTCCTTGAAAACCCAAAGCACATTTCCAAAAATTAGGAGAGGAAACAGGAAATGGAGGGGTGTTTATGTAGCCTATCTTCTACTAATAATAGTATAGTGTTCTTACAGTAATAGTAAGTAGCAGTAGTCACCTGAGATCTGTCACACCGCTGAACTCCCAATTTTGGGGGGGGGGGGCTCATCACCAACTATGAATTATCAGGAGATGTGATAAAGATTCTCTTTCTTGCTTTCTATCCCTCCTTTTGCTGAAAATCTGGAATCCTTCAGTCCTCTGCAATAGATTTCACACTTTCAAAAACTACCATGCAAACAAATGACTTCCCCATTGCATTCCCATATATTACTCAGTAAAACTTTTCACAGCATGGTCAAGATACATGACTATTTCTACCAAACATGAAACAAAAAAATCTGACAGCAAAGTACACAAGTTCCATGTCCACCAGCTACTCAATTGCCTCTTACTTGAAGAATAATGCTCTTTAGTACACTCCCTGGTCTCCCTCCAAACATCATGCCCTTATTATGACACTATTCATTCTGGCTTCCTTATATGTTTGGCTTTCTCATTCACTAACTTATAAGCTCCTCAGGGCCAGGGACCTAGTTTTGTTTTTGTTTGTACATGCTATAGCACCTAACAAGGAATTACATAAATGTTTGTTCTTTTATTGATTCTGAAATACAAAAAATAGTATCAGTCCCAAGGCCCCTCTCCCCTCCTCATCCTCCAATGCCTTGCTCATAAAACATGTATACAGAGCAGCGCCTGTGACTCAGTGGGTAGGGCGCCAGCCCTATATACCAAGGATGGCGGGTTCGAACCCAGTCCCCGCCAAACTGCAAAAAAAAAAAAAAAAGTCTGGCGTTCTGGCAGGCACCTGTAGTCCCAGCTACTAGGGAGGCTGAGGCAGAAGAATCGCTTAAGCCCAGGAGTTGGAGGTTGCTGTGAGCGGTGATGTCACAGCACTCTACCAAGGGTGATAAAGTGAGACCCTGTCTTTAAAAAAAAAAAAAAGTATACAAAATACATTTTTCTTTTGAAAGAACTTAGATTTTTGTAAGGCCTCAAAATCATTGTTTATAAAAACTAGCCATAATATTAGTGAATCATGACAGTGATAACATTAAATGAAAAGGTAGAAAAGAAAGAAAAATGTACAATTATGCAAACTGAAAAAAAAAAAGTGAAGGCCTGGTGGCTCATGCCTGTAATCCTAGCACTCTGGAAGGCTGAAACGAGTGGATTGCTTGAGCCCAGGAGTTCCAGAACTGTCTGAGTAAGAGCAAGACCCCATCTCTACTAAAAATAGAAAAACTAGCAGAGCATGGTGGCACACACCTGTAGACCCAGCAACTCAGGAAGCTGAGGTAAGAGGATTGCTCAACCCAAGAGTTTGAAGTTGCTGTGAGCTATGACACTACAGCACTTTACCCAGAGTAACAGAGTGAGACTGTGTCTCAAATAAATACATACATACATACATAAGGAAGAAGGTATATTACCAAGAGAGAACAACCCAATAAGGAAAGAAATGTGGGTGCAAATCATAAAGGGGAAGGAAATTATTGAAATGTAGTGGAGGTAGAAACTTGACAGACCATGAATGGATGAGGCAGAAACAAAAAAGAAGTGGCAACGTAATCACAGAATGCAACATGAAACAGGAAAGAGCATGACAAATTATATATCTAACAGTATACCTAGGAAAAACCCCAACAGTATGAGTCCTATAGGACAAAGATTTCTGTTTTTGTCTGTTTTCTGTTCAACATTCAATTTTCAAGGTGCTCACCTTTTATCATAGCATGCATTATGTTATAAAAAAAGTATCATGTTATAGTAAAAGGTAACAGCTCACCTTTTATTATAACATGCATTATAATAAACGATAACACAGTACAGTAAAAAGAGCTATAGAAGATAAGCAAATAAACATGAAATGGACTCTGCGAATTCCTATGTAGCTTCACACAAATCACTATCACAATTTCTTCATCTGTATAATTGTTCCAAGACTCAAAATGGTGAAAATAAATGTACTTTGTTTACTATCAAGCTCTTTTTACAGATGAAAAGGAGTATTATGTTGGCTAAATCTGTGAGCAGCACAGTTATCTTTACTTTGGTGTGCGCTCAAATTGCAAAAGCAAAAATTTAGTTTATTCTATTAAAAATGCAATACTTGGAGGGAAATCAGTTAAAACTATTTGTTTGTCTGTTTGATTATTGAACAAAACAACTGCGTGAAGCCAAATGTTTCGTTCTTATAATTAGCTCTCTTCTAAATCCCTTATTATATTATAACTACCATAATAAATGTCTATTACGGGTCATGCATAGTACTTAAATTTTCTATGAAGTAGTCATTGTATGTATTATTCCCATTTTACATATCATAAAACGGAAGTTCTGAGAGGTCAGATAATTCATGCAAGGTGGTAGAGCTGCCTTTGCCACATGGTTAACAAATTGTGCTAAGATTCTATTCATC